TGTTGGAACTCTGTATGATATTCTTTATGTCAGTCAATATATGCTTAATTTCTAGTTGTTCCTCTTTCATAACCTCGAGGGTCTCACTAGATTTCTTGAAGGTCTCATTTAATTTATCGGCGATTTCTAGAAAATTCTTAAAAAACCTTATAAGGCTGGTTTTGAACTCTATATCCAGTAGTTTGCTTTCCTCAATTTCTGTCATTTGTGACCTGTTTCTTTGTCTCCACATTTTTTATGCTTGCCTGTGTTGATAGAGTGGCTTTGTATGCTAGGTGTCCTATATGGCCCAGTGGCTCAGCCTCTGTAATTACCTGAGGTGGACACTCTTGGTGCACCCCTTTGTGAGCTGTGTGCACAGTATTGGTGTAGTTAAGCCTTGATTGCTGTTGGTATTACTGGGAGGAATTGACCTCCAGACCAATTAGCTGTGAGGACCAGTTGTGTCTACAATGGGAGAACTTCTGTGCTGGAAACACCCTTATGGGGCAGGACTTGCTTCAGTGGGACTTTGGCGCTCACTGAGTCTGCCCCCTGAGTGTGTCTCTTATGGATATGAAGAGTTGTAATCTGGTGTGGTCTAGCACTGACCACTGGGTACACTGACTCTTGGAGATGCAAAGTCAGCCACTGCCTGGGGCCACCCAGCAGGAGCTACAGAGAGATCTGCAGATTCCTCCTCTTTGTATTGTTAAACCCAATACAAAGAGGGCCCAGGTGAGGCCCAGCTATGAAGTAAGGCAGGGTGGTGCTGGTGCCGGGCTTTCGGCCTTTTTTTGATAGCTTTGGGGCTCCCTGATCCGGCTGTAGGTTGTTTGACAGGTCTTAGACTGAGAAAGGACAGGCCATTCATATGCAAAAGCCACTGCACACAGCTTGGTTGAGGTTGTAAATTGGGTGGGGCAGGGTCTCAGGGAATCACCAGGGCAGAGCAAACAGCAATGGCTGCCAGTCAGCCCTGCACTGGGGAACAGTGACCGTTGCGAGCACCTCTGTCTGGATGAAGGCTGCCCCCGTATTCTTGCCCCGATGCCAGACAGTCTAGTTTCTCCCCGTATGTGTCTGGGTCCCCCCAGAACAAGTAGGAGCTTATATGTCCCTCCCAATTAAAAAAGCGGCACACCCAGGTGCCAGCCTGTTCTTTGCCTCTGCACCTTCTACCAGTCTCAATACATTTTCTTCTTTATTTCTCTAGTTGTAGTACTTCCACTCAGCCAGCTTTCCTGTGGTTCTGGATGATAGTTGTTTTATATTTTAGTTGTAATTTTGATATTGTTGTGGGAGGCAGAAGTACAGGTGTTTACCTATGTCGCCATCTTGATTCTCTCCTAAAGTTGATTTAACATTTTACGTATTCAGTTACCCAAAGCAGAGAAATGCACTGTCTTGGGCATCACTTCTTTGTACTAAAGCAAAACATTACCTGTTATAATAACATAATGCTGTTTGCATTTTTTAAGCATCTACTTTGTCAGGTATTATGCTAAGTATACAGTTACTAACTTAGCAGCCCTTAAAATAGATATTATTATTTCAAAGATGAGCAAACTGAGACTTAAGCTTGCCCACGGTCACACAACTAACTCTCTACCTGGCTTCCAACTCTTATCCCATACTGCCTCCTCCTTCTCTCGGAGCTCTGACTTCATTTTATTATGAAATGAATAGGAAACATTAGTGCCTATACCATTCAGTGTTGAACAGCACAGGATTTGTTTAAATAAATTTTGCAGTGTTGCGTTAGAGTGTATACCTCCTCCTCTAGTTCATTAAGACATTTTCTATGAATGGTCATTTTCTATCAGGGACCTAGCTAAGGTTATCTGTTTTAAATGATAGATACTTTGCTTAGCAGATTTAAAATGTTCTTTTTCATAGATTTTATAATAGTCTATTACAGATCATTCTGGGTTCTGTCTTTCTAAATTCTTGAAATAATGAAATTTTCTGGAAGAATACTACTTTAGTGTGAACTGTTAGCAGTACATAAAAACCTTTTCTTCACTTGTTACTTTTTAGGTAATAAACTGTAAAGAAAGAAATTTTTAATTTCTACCCACATTTTTTGTTTATTTTCATTTATCTTTCTATTCTTTTTTCTAATATCTCCTTTAGCTAAGGAGAGAAAGTGAAACACAGACTACTTGGTTTAATTACTTAATTTTTTAAAAAATTTTACTTGATAGAGTGATGGAATTTGGGGTTTACTTAAGGGTTTTACTTTTTTCAGTTCACTTGGTTAGCATTGTAACTTAAATGAATTTAAACAGCCTAGGCTGGGTAGCTCAGTTGGTTGGAACGTCATCCCAATATACCAAGGTTTTGAGTTCGATCCCCACTCAGGACACATAAAGAATTAACCAATGAATGCATAAATAAGTGAAACAACAACTCAGTGTTTCTCTCTTTCTCCCTAAAAATCAATACATTTAAAAATTTTTGAAGTGAATTATATAAGGTAGAGATAAAATAAGACACTTAAAAGCAGAAAATGTTCATTGAAAAATAGAAGAGCAAACCTGCCAACTCTAATATCACTGCTGTTGCTTTGCTGGTACATTGAGCTCATGCTGAGCTCCTCATCGGATAAGATGGAGCTAGAGGCAGGTCAGCCTTCCTCATTCTGACCTGGTGACTGCATTTGAGTGATTCTTTCCCAGTTCTTATTCCCACTCTTCTCTCTCATGGGATTTACATATACATAGAGATAAATGTATTCATTAAGTGCACCCATAGTCTTTTAATTTCCGTTTAGATTTCTGCTGGGAGCACTGTGTTATATTTAACCATCCCATAATTTTGTAAGCATTTTTTTCTGCATGTTTTTGTAAAATAATGACTAATAATTTTAGGTTTTTAATGTATATACATATATTTTAGGGCTGAAAGACTTGAAAGTTGAAGATGACATCTCATTGAAGGTGATACCTATTTTACCTGCCCTTAATTGTGCACTGCTAGAAGCAAGGAACTCATTTACTGAAGAAGGAATCTGTCTAAATACATTAGTAAAACGTAATTTTCAAGAACTGTACAAGATGGAGAGAAATCCATTGACAACTTCTTCTCAGGATGGAGTAAAAGAGACTTTATTCTTTGGCAAAATGTCCAATGGTTTTGACTTGGTTCCTCCAGCTGAAAAGTGCCCTGTACAGTCTTTAACTCAGTTGAAGACTTATTTTTCAGATCCTAGTGGGTACATTTTGGAAGTATCTACAGCATTAGATTTATTGGCAGAGCATTCACAGTCTCCTTGTATTTCAGATGGAATTTGTGATGCTGGATTTTCTTTAGTTATGACTCCAGATCCTGAATTTCTTGACTCAGAAGCAGAAGTAAGAAGAGAAACTGAAACAAAAAAGAATTCTGAAGAAATGTTTAAAGCTAGGAAGAGAAATATAGTTCCATTAAATTCAGCATCAAATCTGAGAGTTCAGCCAAAGAGGAAGGCCAGCATGCCACCTATGGGGCAGAGTAAAAGAGTGAACGTGTGCTGTCCTTTCCCCAAAAGAACTCCTGCGAGAGCAAATAGGGCTTCAACCCCTCCAGCAACTCTCAAATTAGTTAAAGGACAGTTTCCTCAGAAAAGAAAAAGAGGTAAGCACAATTTATGGAGATTGAGTTAGTAATAACTGTTGTATTCTAACACTGTTCCTGTCAGATCACTGGACTGCAGCTGTGCAGTATCAGAAGTTTGTTAGAAATGATATTTCTCTCCAGGTGATTTGTCTGCATGCTTAAGTTTAAGGTAGAGATTAAAAACAAGAAATAGGAAAAACTGTCAGATATCTCCTCAAAAGCCCACCCACCAAAAGCCGTATTTCACTCTAAAACTGCTCGAGCTGTCAGTTATTTATGTACCATTCTAGAAAGATCATTATCCAGTGTCTTATCTACCCTCAGACAAATAAAAGTAGATGAAGAGGATCTTCTAAAATCATACCCTCACCCTGTGAGTAGCTCAATTGTTAGAGTGTCATCAATAGGTCAAGATTTGGGGTCCAGTTCTCGGTCAGGGCACATATAAGGATCAACCAATGAATGTATCAGTAAGTGGAACCCTAAATCGATGCTATCTCTCTCTCTCTCTCTCTCGCTCGCTCTCTCTCTCTCTCTCTCACCAATAAATTTTAAAAATATAAATCAGGCATACCAAAACCAGCAAAAAGTAATAACGAGTAGCTTAAACATGTATAAAGAGGTGGGGGAAATACCTAGAACCTTCAAAACTAAAACAGTCTGGGGTAGGATTTCTAATCCTTTGGGTGTGTCAGAGTTTAAAAACAGTCACCTGGATCCTGCCATAGATCTGTTGAGTCAGAATGTCCAGTGGCCTGTATTGAGACAATTCCACAAGTGGCTTTGTTGCCCCCCGCTGAAAATTGAGTAATAATCAGAGTCTAGAGCTATTTAGTCTCTAGTTAAATGCACTTTAGTGAACATAGCACAACAAACAACACAATTTTGCCTTAGAGCCATCTCAGATTATAGGTACTGTATTTTGTTGAAAAGTAGGGAACTATATGCTGTATGACCCCTTAGAGAAGTAGTCAGCAAAGTGTAATCAACGGACTCCTCAAGCTGTTGTCTCTGGCTACATCACAGCTTTATACATCACAGCTTTATACCGTTGGCAGAGATGTGTGGTTGTGAATAAGAACAGTGACCTTCAAAGCGGAAAATACATACTATCTGCCCTTCACACACAAAAGGTGTGCCACCCTATCGATAGTATTTCGATTCTAGAAATTTTGGTGCTTAGAGAAGAAACATCAGGGATATGCAGAGCCCCAGGATTCTAGATGGTTAAGATTTTACGCTGTAGTTCAACAAATAGTTATTTTTGGCCTGTTACAGTTGGAGAAAATGGTGTATATGTGTGTATTTAGGAGAATGTTGGATATTATGACAATAGAAAGCAGTGAATCAGACTAAACAACTACTTACAAATAAATTCCAGGCCAACCGTATTGTTTCTGCTCTGTATGAACCAGTTTACTTTAAGATATTAAATAAATTATCCATAATTCAACATACATGTTTTCTGTTTCTCAGATGTCTTAAATTTCATCCACTATAAGAAATATGTTTTATTTTGTAGTCACTACACACAAATGCACACATGACTGAAACAAAAATTTCAAAAGACATTTACCCTATGTGTAATACAATCTGGTATTTTCTCTTCCACTTTGTTTCATTTAAGAAAGAATTCTGGTTGCAACCCATTAACTTTATTTTATAATCCATCGATGGATTATTGTATGCAATTTGAGAAACATGGCATTGAGTGACACTAATAAACAGAAAAGTCCCTGCAGGACACCTTGTTCATGTTTCAGTTTTTCCTCTCAGGATTGTGAGAGATCTTCCCTTTCTGTTTGTGCAATTGTTTAAAACTTTCCCCTATGTCTTGGTCATCTCACCTTATTTTCTTTCTCTTCTTGATTTAGACTTAACTGTTTTCCTACTTGATTTATATTCTTAATGTATTTATTTTCCTTTATACTAAAAATGTATAACAGAATGCTAGGCCTTATTCCTTAAAATATATATATATACTGCTTTATTATGTGTAATAGTTTACTAGGGAGGGAAATAATTGGACCCAAAGACATGTACAATATTAAGAGATTCTAAAGCTTTCCCAAAACCCCCAAGAAATAAATTGGTATCTTCTCTACATTTCATCAGCAGTCATCCCAATATCTTAAACTGTTTAGTATTATGTTTTCTGTTCTCAATTAGAAATATTGTTTTCTGTATAATGTAATTTTAAATTTTTGCCAATATTTATGTGTGATTATTTTATACTAGAGGCCTGGTGCATGAAATTCGTGCACTGGGGGGGGGGGTCCCTCACCCCAGCCTGCATCCTCCAATCTGAGACCCCTTGCCTCCCTGTCTCCCTGATTGCCTCTAACCACTTCTGCCTGCCTGATTGACGCCTAACTGTTCCCCTGCCAGTCCGATCACCCCCAACTGACCTCTCCTGCAGGCCTGGTCACCCCCAACTGACCTCCCCTGCCAGCCTGGTTGTGCCTAACTGTCCACAGGCCTGGTACTCCCCCTCCCCCAACTGCCCTCCCCTGCCAACCTGGTCGCCCCCAACTGCCCTCCCCTGCAGGCCTGGTCCCCGCCCCCACCACCTGCCCTCCCCTGCCGACCATCTTGTGACCACATGGGGGCAGCCATCTTATGGCCATGTGGGGGTGGCCATTTGTGCTAGGGTTTGGTGGTCAATTTGCATATTACCTATTATATAGGATGATGCCTTTGGGGCCAAATTTTTTTTTTGCTGCGAAACAACTGAAATTATATAAAGCAAATGGATAAAACATACTAATAAGTGCTCAAAGGGAGCACTTATATTTTTTTAACTTAAAAAATTGAAACACTATTTTTGTGTTATATAAGCAGATAGTCGCTAGTTTTGTTTTCCTCTTGTGCCCCTATCTTTAGCTATTTCCTTCCTTCCATGTGAGAAGCAAAGCTGAGCATTTTATAAAAGAGATGAGCAGTTAAAATAGATTTGTAGGAAATTAAATCAGGTGAACACTTTGTCCAGTGTGCTTTTTTCTGTCTTGTCTTTAAAAAATGATTTTTAGAGGTAGTATTAAGACTTAGATATTTACGAGTAGTAAAGTAAAATATGTAAGATGGCACTTTATGAATATAGAATCTCTTTTATGTGGTGTGGTTATAGTTTTAACCATATCACCACTTAGGGGCTGTGTTGCTTTTGTATACAATGAATTATGTATCTCCCAGTGCTATGAACTAGTATATCCAGGCTTACTTTACGAAAGATCATGGAGATTTTTAGAAAAATTGAACAACAGGGGAGCAACAGGACTGGCGGGAGCATACCTTGTTTTTATAAAATTATTACCCTAATATTTTTCTTCCCCACCTAGTAGGGATATAGACCAACATTAGCAATTTCATATTTTTATATGTATATGAGAACTTTTAACTCTTGCTTTATTAAAATATGTATATTTTAATGAAATACCCAAAATTTTATTTCCTATTACTATAGTTATGCCCTAAAGTAAAAACACAAATAAAAGGAAAAGCTACACTGATAAATATTTGAGCCCCCTTACCCTTTAAAAAATGGTGTCTTTTTTATATAAGGTGCTGAGGTGCTGACTGCACAGTTTGTACAGACAACCAAATTGGATACGAAAAACCAAGAAGCTCTTATTTCTAAAGATGTTCCAGTTGCAACGACTCCTAAAAGGGCAAGGAAACAAGAGAAATCTCCAGTCAAAACTGTTCCGAGGGCTAAACCACCTGTGAAGAAATCTCCACAAAAACAGAGGGTAAATATAGTAAAAGGCAATCAGAATCCCAGAATCAGAAAGCAGCCACAACCTGGTAAGAAATACTCTTCCTGTAAATTTAACACCACATGCTGAATAATCAAGGTTGCAATATAGTGTGTGGAAATAATATAAGAACAGTTAAAAAAACCTATCAATAATTCTTCCTATATTCTTTAATTCAAACATTAATAGGACCAAGTAACTTGATTTCCCATTGTAAATTAGGAAATTACAAAAGATTCAAGTATCACAAAATAAACCTATTTACTAGTTTGCATAAATCCTTAACATAAACTATAATTTGCCTTTTTTTATGACTAAATGCACAAGCAAGTAGTATCTAGCACAGGGGTCCTCAAACTACGGCCCGCGGGCCACATGCAAATACAAGTATTGTATTTGTTCCCGTTTTGTTTTTTTACTTCAAAATAAGATATGTGCAGTGTGCATAGAAATTTGTTCATAGTTTTTTTTTAAACTATAGTCCGGCCGTCCACCGGTCTGAGGGACAGTGAACTGGTCCCCTGTTTAAAAAGTTTGAGGACCCCTGATCTAGCACTATTTTTCTGGACTATAATTGGTTATAAAAAGTAAATTGCAACTTTATTTGTCCCAGGGGAGTTGTAAAGAGAGTGTTCAAAATAGTAATCCAGAATCCTATATTTGGTTTTAAAAGGCATTAAATTTATTTTAAAGGAAGTTTTACTTTCCTAATTTTGCTAAGTGGATATTGAAGCTTATTTATATGTACAGTCAGCTGACTGCTATAGTTCTGTGATTTGAATGCTAGGCATACCCTCTTTACTTGAAAGTTCCATTTTCTCTGCAAACTTTATCTCTGAAACTGAACACATACCAGCTCTTCTCCCAGGTCCACGTCCCTTCTTAACTTTTCCTCTTTCTGTGTATAGTGCAGTTCTTCCAGTCTGCAAAATCTATAAATTTTACTTTATCTTCCAATATTGAGTCCTCTTGTTTCTTTTTAAATTTATTTTAACAAAGACTTTATTTTCCATACCTTTATATTTCTATCAATTTTCTGTCTAATTTTCCTGATCTCCTTTCTCTCTTAATGTTTTTTTAGCTTTTAAAAAAATCTAATTTGGTGAGATTTTAAAGAAAGAAACTATGGTTTTGTTGGGGTAATGGTATTATGGGTTGACTTTGTTTTTTCTTTTCTAAATTTTTTAAAAATATTGTTTGATGACTAAATATTTTTTTAAAGCTCACCATATTGTAAACCCCACTTTTTCTTTTTCTTTTTTAATTTCAGAGCAGGAGAAGGAGAGAGAGATAGAACATCAATAATGAGAATCATTGATCAGCTGCCTCCTGCATGCCCCCCTTCTAGGGATCAAGCCCACAACCAGGGCATGTGACCTTGATTAGAATGAAAACCAGGACCCTTCAGTCCACAAGCCAACTCTCTGTCCAATGAGCCAAACTGGTTAGGACCCTGCAGTATTTGTAATTTTGGCATCCATACAAAAAACTCTGCTTGTCTCTCAAGACAGTTAATGTGTTCTTTCTTACTCCTCAGGTCCATATTTATCTCCTGCTCTTTCCTAACTTGCCCCTTTCCTGCCAGTGCCTCCCGACAGACATCATACCTCTTCTCTTTTCACTCCTGTGCCCTTCCCCTCCACCAGTCCAGGTTTCCTCCTGCTCTGATCTTCTGATCTCTCACTTTTCTCTGATTTCCTTTTGGGTTTTTGAGAACATTATGGAATTTATCCTGCTTTTCAATCATTTGATGTGGTGTGGTCCTGTCTTTACAATTAGTTTATAAATGAGTATAGATACCTATATAATACCTATGTTCTTAGCCATGACATTTGAATTTTGGCTCTCAGGTAGTTATAGACTAATTGATTAATGGGAAGAAGGTATGCAATTGAGTATTGACAGAAAAGTGAGTCCAGAAAATGAAAAGTTTTGAAAATGTGTATTCAAAATAGGCTGATTTGTATTGCAAATGTCTGTATATATTGTGCAGCCACATTCCAAGTTAAAATTTTAAGATTACCACCTCTTAAATAATCTCTTGATTTTCTTTTATTTCTTAATTGTCTATACTAATCTGTTTCATTTTTTATACTTGAAATATGAGTTTAAGAAGGCTCAATCTTTTTGTTACTGAAACTAATGGTTTTCTGTTCTTTTTAAAGTTTTCAATATAGTCTTTGGTAACGGAACTCTGTTTTTTATGTAATTCCTTTGGCATTCTCTTACTTGTATTTCTTAAGATAGATTATTAGATCATATTTCCAATGATTGAGAACCTCTAGCAACTCAGTAATTAAATGCTTATGCTTATTTATTAACACAAACCCTTTTGAACTCAACACAATATACTTTGTGTTCACCTTATTCATAGGTGATAAGAGCCATACTCTTAACAAAGATAAAGTGAAATTAGTATCAATAAACACATTAGATCATAAAGTGAATTTCATGTTTCCAAAACACCTGTTATGAACTTTGTCCTTCATGATAACCGCATTTAAGAAAGCCAAATTTATGCCCTGACAATACAAGTAAACCACTTAAGGATGTCAGTTTTCTGATTAAAGACAAGTGAGTAAGTAGATTTGATTATCTGCAGAGAGAAGAATTATCAATAGATAAGGAGATTTGCTAATTTGCAGATAGAGTAGAGAGGAAATGTTTGTGTAGAAATTAAAGTTTTAAAAGGTAATGAAATCAATTAGCTATTCTGAATACTCATGACTTTAAACTTTTTTATTCATATCATTGCATATTATAGTTAAATATCAACATGGTTAAAATCATCTCTACTTTGAACTTAGGTGGTTTCTCTAATCACTTATTAAAGGAAATAATTTAAGGAAGTATGTTATCATACTATAATATACAATTCAAACGTTGAAGTTCTTATGTTTGCACTAGATTATAAGCTCTCTGAGGGCAAGACTCTTGTTTTCTGCTGTTCGTATATTCCTTTAGCTGAGCAGGGTACCTTGTGTGTGGTTCAGTACATGCATTTTTGAAGGGTGATTTCTTGTTAATATGCACATTCCTTAGGACTTCCTTCTTCCTCCGGTAATTACATTATAATAGATATGAGACTAGAAAGAGACCTCAGTCTGATGGTAAGATTTTAATATAAAGTTTATGCAACATATCAATGTTTTTCTTGAATATATTGACTTAACCAATAATATGGCAAGGAATTAATTTTATGAAATCAAATGCTATGGTTTTTTTCTTCTTTTATATTGAAGCCAAAGGAGAAACTGCTTCTCAGCTTCAATCAAAAATTTCATTATGTGGGCAAGAAGATGTTATTGGCATAAATACAGCTCAACCAGAAAACATCACAGTGGCTCAGAAAGCTCCAGCTGAGAATTCCATTGTCAACTGTGACTCCCAGGCCCTAAACCTGTTAGCTGATCTCGCATTAAGCGCTGCTACCTCTACCACACCACCATCTGAGCCCAGAAACCTTCCTTGCTCTTCTGAATTGCCACAAAGCAATGTTTTGCTTTCTAAAGAACATTCTCTGAGCAATACATCTGACCATGAATATCATAGAGGAGTTAAAAGTAAAAAAAGGGGAGTGTTACCTAAGCCCTCCTCTGATAAGAAGAGTAATCTGACATCAGACTCCACTGTCAGCCAAGAGGAAGAGAGGTTGGTTCCTGACAGTCAGACCCCTATTGAAGCCCAGTCGGCACTTCCTGAGGAAACAATGGAAACTTCAGATGCAAGCCAAAGTTCTGTTGCTGTGGAACATTCCTATGCCCTGCTCCTTGCAGAACATTCAAAGAAGGCACTACAGCAGAGAGGGTTACCAGGCCCTGCCTTCACCAAGAATGGCACAAAAGGCCCTGAAGCAGGAACCCCAGTGGGAAAAGTAATGCCATTTCGGCATCAGCTGAGCACCTCCCCTATTCAAAAGCTTCCTGAGGACCCAGTACTCAAGCGCAGGAGCAGATTGCTGTCTTCCAGCCTGAGAGACTTTTACTGCTCTCGTACTGTGTTCAGCTGTGACGGCTCCTTCAAGGTCACTTTCAAATGTGAAACAAACTATGTATTCAGCTTAGACAGCAAATATACCAACAACCCACTGGAGAAAACTGTACTAAGAGCATTACATGGGTAAGTAGGAGTAACACTTGATGAAATGGAGGTAAATTTCCTATTGAAGTAAGTATAATGAGCAGAGATACTTGTGCCAAACCGTGGGAAAGGAGAAAGCAGTATTTTACGTAAATCCAGTGATTCAATAATAATATCAAGCAGTTGTGTTTATGACACCAAAGAATATGAGGCTGGTTTTGCCATCATCCGTGATCACATGGAGAACTTTTGCAAGGTAACTTTAGCCTCATGAATAGCTTGCCATTTTGAGGTGCTCCTTCATAAGCCTTTGCAGTCTTTGAATTATAATATTTAAATGAGGTCATAATGTAAAATAGTGAGATATAGAAGTAATGCTTTACAGAGTGAATTCTAGAAGAAACATTCAAAGAATTACTTCTAGCTTGTAAAGCTGATCAGATTGCTATGAGTAAGCAATTTTTCATGGGGTTGTTCTGTAATTTTCCTCAGAAAGTGGTCAAGGCAGTAATAGAGTGGCAGAAAGTGTGGGCTTTGGAGTGTGGACTAATGTGGTGTTTCATTTGGGCTCTCCCACTTACTAGCTTCTGTGACCCAGAAGTTCCTGTGCTTCAGGACAGTGCTTCTCAATTTTTATTGTGTACACAACTCCTATAGGGATCTCGCTGAACTACAGATTTTAACTCAGTCTATTTGGGCTGGGACCTGAGAATCTACAGGCCTAACAGATTTCCAGGCGATGCCAACAGTTGTTACATGCATTTGGGTTTTGCATGGTGACTGGCACATGCTAATGAATAGACTAAGAGCAGGAAGCATTTAGCTGTATGAAATGGTATTGAGCTACCTGTTAGTGGAATATTTCATATGTGAGTGACTAAATTGTGTCAGATTTGTTTCCTTGACTGGAGTTAGGAGCTCACACTCATAAGAGTATACATTTACTGGTATGTTCCCATGTATTTATGAGGTCGTTTTCTGAGCCTTAATCCTATTTAACTGAAGCCTAGCTTGGTAGACCCTCTGACTCATCCCAATCCAGCTCTTTGCTATCGTTTTGCCTGGCAGTGGCCAGAACTGTTTTGTGTCACCCCTTTTGGTTTCAGGAGGTTTTCCAGAACTATAATCTGAAAATAGTATAGTTCCACTGTATTGCCCACGGATACATTTTAATTTTTAGACTTTCCCAACTATTAGAAGAGAAATACAAAAGTAGAAATGAGTAAGCCAGACTTAGCAAAGTCAGTTGCTAAAACCATTATCTAGATAATAGGTATACTGTGTCCACGAAAGTTTGCATGTTATCAAAGAAAAATCTGTTGGGAGATCGGTTTTTATCATGTTTCTACCACTTACGGGTTTTGTGATTTGAAAGTCACTTAAAGCTTTGATTTTCAGTTTTCTTCTCTGTCTCAGTAAAACGAGTAGATTAGGTTCATTGCAAGTATTTGTTAAATCAACTTCATTTTTTAACGTATTTGTTGCATGTCTGTGTAATTTTTAAAATAAAAATAAACTCAAAAATTAAGGTTAACAATGAAGGCCACTTGCTTATGTTAATAATAAAGTAACCATTTTCAATGATTTTTGTATGTTCTTTCTTTAAAATCTCAGGCCCTGGAACACTGATTTACCTGATAATGTGGAAGAAGTGAAGCTTTTACTTCATATGTGGGTGGCTTTGTTTTACAGCAATCAGAACAGAGTCATACGATCATCCCGAAAAGTAGTAGAACACAGCAACCCTGCCAAATATGTGTCTATCAATACTACAATAGAATCTTTTCAATTCAGTGAAATTGAGGAGTCCCGCAGTGTGGAAAGGTGTTCTGTAGGCCCTTTGTTGGAGACAGAGGAAGCTCCCAGAGGTCATAGTGCTGAAGTGTCCTTCCCTGACACTAACTCCTTGCTTCCTTTCATTAAACCACCTGCAAGAGGCTTGGAACTCTGGGTACAGAATGAACAGAAAGAAGTTTTTGTAAGAGAGAATCATCCAGATACTCCAGAAAAGCAGAATTTCATCTATTCTTGTAATAATGAGGTAAGTAAAGCTGAATACTACAAATTCTGGCATTTTTTTAAGTTTTCTTCTTTATATATAAAATTACATTCAAAATAAATTCGTTTATTTTAGGGAAGTAGATTCTCTAGCTTTGTAAGTCATTATAATGCCCAGAACTTAGTCTTCATGAGTATTGCTCATAGTTTGCAGGTGGAGCCAATCTGTCATCCTGATTGAAGAAACAGAAGTAAAAAATAATGGGGTTCAGATGATCTGGGAACCAACCATAATTATGTCACTTGTTTGTTGTATAATTTGGGACAAATTACCTGCTCTCTGAGCTTATTTTTCTTATAAAAAGAGGCGAATAATATTCATTATGTCTTTTACCCAGAGTAGTGTTTAAGGATCAGATGTGGTAATAGTAAATATTAGAAATCTTTGATAAACATTAAATTGAAATTGAATATATTAAAATTATATTTGAAAAAAATACTGTCACAGAAAATAAAATTCCAGGCCTCTCATGGGTCTGTAGATAACTATTTATAAATAAATAAAATACAGGCCAGATCACCAAATTTTAATTGGAGCAAAGAAGTTGTATATCAAAATTCCAAGTAAATGGATTGACAAAATGCCTGCCTTTTTAAACTTTCAGCTCAGTTTTATTTCAGAATAATTTTGCGTGGTTTTGGTTACCTTTAATGCCTGTCTTCACATGAGTAGGCAGTGTTTCTATACCTGGGGTTACTTGGGGATTTGCAGGTACAGGGGTGAGCCTCAGAGGGTCTGTGAATGTCTCCTGACGCTCATCGTCTTCATCGTAATGAAGACTGATGTACGTAATGCTATGGATTAGATAAGGGTCTGAGCCCTTGGCTCACATTAACTCAGCTAATTATCACAAAACCCGATGAGTAAGGACCATTCCTTTCTGTGTTATAGATGAGGAAACTAAGGCATAGAGGAGTATGGAAATTGCCTGAAGTCATATAGTTAGCAAATTGTCAAGCCAGGATTCAAATTTATACCATCTAGATCAGTGGTTCTCAATCTGTGGGTTGCGACCCCTTTGGGGGTCGAATGACCCTTTCACAGGGGCCGCCTAAGACCATCGGAAAACACATATATAATTACATATTATTTTTGTGATTAATCACTATGCTTTAATTATGTTCAATTTGTAATAATGAAATTGGGGATCACCACAACATGAGGAACTGTATGAAAGGGTTGCGGCATTAGGAAGGAAGAGAACCACTGGTCTAGATGTTTCTTAATGTTAAATTCTGTGTGCATATGTGTGTGTTTATGTGTATACTTACATACATGAGTTTCCTGTGTATATATGATTTTTCTGATGAGGTTCATAAATTTCATATGATTCTCAAAGATACTTAAAATCCAGTTAAGAATTACTGCCTTAGAATAAGAAAATATTTATAGTTTAGTCAGGCCGATATATATGTACTACTTATAAAGTATTTTTTGTTGTGGTAATATGTAATTAACTATCATCAGTATTAATTTTAGAAATGATCTTTGCAAACGTAAAATAGAGTATTAAGGAAGTAATAGTATTAAAATTAATGATTTCTAAAAATTTCTATAGCATGTATTTAAAAATTTTCCATCATCTTCCTGGATACTGTGCCTTTACTTTAAAGATGCACACACAAATGCTATACCACTCCTTTGTTCTACAAGTGGGCAAACTAGGACACAAAAGAATTCCAGCACAGTGGGCATTAGAAACCAATAGCCATGTTGCTTTTAGTTGTGTGTTTAATTTTGAAGTTCTTTTAAATCATCACACTTTGCTTTAGAAACATTACACTTCACCTGTAGTCATATATATATATATTAGTCTAAACATATCAAGATTATCACAAATGCATTTCCCTAAGACCACAGGCATGGTAAGGTTTGGGACTGTAGTCAAAGATTAACAGCCACAGTGTGACTGGGTGGGAAAATTCTCAGAATAACTCCTACCATTAAGACTTTCCTGTGTTTTGTGCCTGGCCAGTAATGTTCTCTTAAAACTCTGAGTCTCAGTTCCCACGTTGCCAGTTCCTCAGCTCAGTGTTTTCTGTTAAGACAGAGATGTTTTTAATGAGGTTTGAAACCCAGGTCCTGACTTTTGACATGATTGTCACAAGACATGGCAGGAAGTCTGTGATCATAATGTTCCAAAAGTTAATATATGGTTAATATATATGGTTAATTGTATGATCAGTCCATTTTACTATATTCTGGACAAGACTATGTTTCATCCTTTAAAAAAAACACCTGTTTATGAGGTTATCAAAATTATCCAGAAGTAATTCTCCTAATGTTTAACCCAGATCCACATTCACCATCAGTCCCTTTGGTTCACTTTATTCATGCAAACTGTACTATGTTTTATGTGCTCTGTTGAATAGGAGTTATTACAATGAGAAAGAAATTATCTCCAGTTATAAGCAAAGAAGATAGCTGAGGAATAAGAGATTTTCAAGTCTAAATTGTCAGTGGGCTAGCCACTTTTCTTCCTAAAAGTCCTTTTTAAAAAATGGGCTGTGAAATAAGTTTTGGAGATCTCATCTGTGTGTTTTATGTTTAAAGAAAACAAATTCTTATTTGTGGGGTATTTTAAGCCTGTCTAAAAAGAGATGGATTTGTTTAATCTTTACCCTGTCTTATTCTTACAGATTAGAAAATTCAAAAGAATGGACAAACTCAAATTAATCCTTTTCTATTCTGTTCTTCACATATAAATGTTTAAAATAATCTGTTTGAATCCTGAGTTAGTTTTTTCACTTTTGTCATTTCAGATCATTGAGGGGAAATCCAAACAAGAGTCATCGGATAAAACAGAGACTTCTAATCTTGTGCTTTCTAACACTGGAAGTATCCGAATTAATGGACCTTCTATTCCTGGTGAAGATAAAACCTTTGAGCCACTTGATAGCACAAGAGTGACTTCTTTTGATACAGTCACACAAACCACATTCACTAAGACTTGTGATGGGATCAGCAGTCAGTCAGTGATTTGTCAAAAATCTGTGTATAGCACCCTTGAAAACAAAGTCGATAATTTCCATGCAACAGTGCAAGCAAAAACCAGTGGTTTACAGACCCTTATCGAGCATAGCAGCCCCCAAAACAAAGAATGTCAGCCTTCACAGGAAAAGAAAGATGATATGGGGTATGTAATGATTAATCTGGAACCAGTTACTCTTACTTTTGAAAAAAATGCATGTATACCAATACAGGCAGAAATTGCAAATAGAGCTGATAAACCTACAGCCTTTAATATGGAGTTGCTTAAACAAGTATCACCTGCTAGAAGTTTTAGACTTCCTATATCCACATTTGAAAAGGTACAAACACAAGGTCTTAAGGACATTCTATCTCTAGCAACGTCAGGAGAAAAAGGCACTAAGTACCTTTGTGCCTCCTCAGTAAGTGGAGAGACACTAGCTAATAATGAAATGTGTTCATTACAGAAAGAGATTCCTGTTCCAGGCTCATCATTGCCAACTGATAATTCATTGGAAAAAGAGGCATTACCATTAGTTGAAAGTTGTAATTCTTCATTACCCAGAGAAGAAATGAAACTCTCTCAAGAACTTTTTCTGCAACCGAAGAGTCTCTTAAGCATATCTTCAGAAGAGATTTTGGAGCCATCACAGATTGAAGAAGCCTCACCATCAGCCTCTGCCATGTTGGAAAAAAATTACTCACTTAGCTGCATTCCATCAAGAAGTAATACATCAAATGGCTCTTTAGAATTAAAGAGTGACAAGAGTGGTCTAAACAGTGAAAATAGGAATTTTGAATCATTTAAGTCCGCATTTGCTAAACAAACCAGCCTATCTATAAATGGAGAGGAGGTAAGCCTAGAGTTAGAGGAAGATTCTGACATTGACCTAACTCTCACAATATCACCACCTACAAGTCCCAGAGAAGAAATGCCAGCTGGTGAAACAGAGCAACACCAGGAGGCCCCATTACCAAATTTAGAGCTCCAGGATATAGATGAAGACATAATTGAGCCACAAGAAGTGACTTTCATAGAAAACAGAGAAGTGAATTCTGCTAAATATACTTCTGCCCTTGAGCTTACAGAGGAAGTTAATGTTACTTCAGACTTTCCCTTTGGTTCTTTAATTGAAGAAGTGTCACCAGCTTCTAGTCCTGACCCCCAGATACCAGTTGAAGAAACACAACCATCTCGGGATGTGTCTCCATGTAGTTTAAAACATCCCGATGCACAGAATGGGAAAGGTGGCAAATTCTCCCACACTGAGTCAGTAGATTTGGCCATAACAGAAAAGGAAAATTCTTTTGGTCCTATCCATCCAATGGTTACTATTAAATAATCATCCAGGAAGAAAAGATAAGCATTCAACCCTTCTGGGCAAAGTAACTAAGGAAATTGTCCCAAGTGAACATGGTGAGGATTTCTCTTTCTCAGAAAAGTTGCCATGCTGCAATAAAGAATTAAACCAGCCTGCCCCAACTGGCAGTTACAGAGCTGACTTCAAGACTTCTCTAGAAAAATTGGTAACGTCAGGAAATCCATTGCAGCCGATCAGTATAGAAAACAGAAATTCAGGTTTAAATCACCTTGCCTTGGAGACCAGTGAGCCCCCATATAGTCCTAGAAAGATTTTGGAAAATAAGTCTTTGGTTGATACGTTTATTTCAACAAATAGTCCAAGTGAAATAATGAATGTATCATTAAAACAGGAGACTAGTCCGAAAAGCATTAAGAATCTCTTTAGCAGTGATTTGAAAATAAATGAAGGCAATTACATGCAAGTTCAGTCCATGAGCTCTGACTCAGTCGATGAAGCTGATGATACACAGGCACACAGGCACCCAGAGATCCCCAACCTTGCTTTTTCCTCAAGTGGTGCTACCGTAACCCATTTTACAAGACCCATAAACGTTGAGACAGGGTTTCAAACACAGGAAATATCAGTAGTCAGAATGGCCAGTTTGCTTAAGAATAGTGAAACCGAAGCTGAATTATATGAAAACAACATAGACCTAGGAGGTATTGACTCTGAATCAAACACCACATCTCCAGAAGGCAAACAAAAAACCACCCATATGCCGCAAGATATGTCAACATGCAAAACAAAAGATCTGTCGAATAAAGGACTTTCCCCCATGTATCTATATGCTGATTCTCATCAAAACACAGCAGTCACCAGTGAAAATGTCAATAAAGAGCCTTCTGCCTTTTTTGTTCCCAAATCTTGTGCTCCTCTTGTTTGTGGAGTCTCTAAAGAGCAGGTGGAAAATAAAAGCTCTGGTGAGGGGATCAGGACTGAGGAGGACTCTGAAACCCTGGAGGGAGATATGGATAATAGTGTGAATTCTGACTTCCATTATGAACCACTTTCCGGAGACTCTGATCAAGACTCTTTTGGTGATTGTAGAAATCTGAAATTAGACATGGAGAGTTCCTGCGCTTTGCGATGTAGTCACAAGAAAGAAGGTGCTTTGGAAGATGGTTATGACTCTTTCCTGAGCCTAAACAATAGTCATAAGGACGATTGGGCCTACTCTACCCAGGTTTCAGAGTTGGAGACCAGCATACCTCCCCGAAACCGGTTTGATGGATTAAAGAAAGAAGATAAGAGTGTGCCATGTTACATCCAAATCAGAGATCTCCATGGTATCCCCAGGACTTACACTAATTTTACTATAACTAAAGAGGTCAAAGGTACCAAGAGAACTTTGCACGGCCTGAGGAGGCAGCGCAATTTCACTGCTAAACATGGCTTGCTAAGCTCCTGGACAAATACTTGGCAGATAGAAGATAACCTTACTCAGAACACTTTAGATCTGGAGTATCTGCGTTTCCAACAGAAAGTGAAGCAAATTGTAAAGAAAGGGGATTCCCAGCTTTCTCCATCTTCCACCAATGACTTTTTGAAGAAACCACCTCTCCAAATTGCCTCTGAAGTTTTCCCTTTGCCAAAGACATCTGAATCCTCAGTTCTCCATCCTCCATCCCAGAGCAAAAGTACCCTCTTGGTAACAATCATGCACTCAGACTCCAGGCCACAGAGCCAGCACCCGAGACGCCACAGGTCCAGCAAATTAGACAGTTCTTCCTTTTGGAAGGAAAGATGTGATCGCAGGAGAAATCATCTTACAAATTCTAAAAGAAATCAGACTGTTTCTTTCCACCTCAACAAACTGAAATATAACAGTACTTTGAAGGAATCCCGGAATGATATCTCCCTTATTCTCAATGAATATGCGGAATTCAACAAGGTGGTGATGAATGGCAATCAAGTCAGTTTGCGAGTTAAAGAGTCAAATGTTGGTTCTGGAGAAGCCACATCTCAAGAGATGTACTCATCTTCCCCAAGAAGATCTGCCTCCTACGAAGACATGATTACAGACTTGTGTAACAGTTTGCGCGTCAAACTAAAAAGTGTCGTGAAAGAGGCATGCAAAAGCACCTTTCTGTTTTACCTCGTTGAGACAGAGGACAAGTCATTCTTTGTGAGAACAAAGGTAAGGTGACAGATTTTTTTCTTATAGATTATATTATTTTGATTGCTGTCTAATTTTATCTTAAAATAATAAATTTAGCATTCTTGGCTTCAGAAAAAGATGATATATGAAGTGGTATTTGAGTTTCACAGCTCAGTTTTTATCTGCATACCAAATGTTATGCTGCAAGGATCTATCTGTCTTTGGTACTATATTTGAAGATACGTATGATGTTCCAGAATTAGTGGAATGACTAATTTTCACAAAAAGTTACCAGTATAGACATACTCAAATTCAAATACAAATATGTTCTTAGGTAAAATGCAGATTTTTAAAAATTACATTATTAAGCCCTAGCTGGTTTGGCTAAGTGGCTAGACCATCATCAGCCTGTGAAAGGGCCCAGGTTCAGTTGCAGTCAAGGGCACGTGCCCAGGTTGTGGGCTTGATCCCCAGTATGGGGCATGCAGGAGGCAACCGATCAATGATTCTTTCTCATTGATGTTTCTATCTCTCCCTTCCTCTCTGAAACCAATAAAAATATAATTTAAATTAAAACTGCTTTATTAATATGGATAATTGAGAGGGACCTCTTTTGGTTTTAGATCAGCGGTTCTCAACCTGTGGGTCGCGCGACCCCTTTGGCGGTTGAACAACCCTTTCACAGGGGTCGCCTAAGACCATCCTGCATATCAGTTATTTACATTATGATTCATAACAGTAGCAACATTACAGTTATGAAGTAGCAACGAAAATAATTTTATGGTTGGGTCACAACATGAGGAACTATATTTAAAAGGCTAGAAGGTTGAGAACCACTGTTTTAGATGTATTTTTTTTATTGAATTTTAGGATAATTGATGTTCTCATAAGAACATGATACTTAATTTTAAATGATGTAACCATGGTAAAATTCTAACTTCACAGGAGCCAGAATCCATCTCCATTTACCATGAGCTTCCTCATTTTATCCCCTCATAATTTCTCTTATATTTTTAGAAAATACAGTATTCTCTCTTTTGTTTTAACTTTTAAAGTATAATTTCAAATTCATATGAAGGTTGCAGGAATGTTAACATTTCTGAATGTTAAAAGATACCTCACTATTTACATTTCACCCAGATGCCCCACTGTTAACATTTCTGAACCATTTGAAAATATGTTGCAGTTACGATGTCCCATTACCTCTGAATACATATGTATTACCTTCATATGAGACTGCTGCACTAAGGAAGCAACTGTCTATATTACCCAACAAGAAGGACACTGTTTTGTATGATCACAGCACAACCCTAGAAATCAGGACCTGAGCACTAATGCACTGTGCTAGTTCAGCCCACAGACCCCATCTTAAGTTCAGTATCATATTGTCTTTGCTTGTCATGTGTGTGTTTTTGTCAGATTCCTATTGTACAGTAAAACTTTGATTTTGCAGGTTTCAATTTAAAGGACTTCAGATTTAATGGACAAAATTTCCAGTCCATGTCATATGTGAAAAATAAAACCTTGTTAATTTTAAAATGCTTTTAATCAAAATTTGCTTATAATTAACAGGTTATTTTTGTTGTTGTTAATTCACTCTTATTTTTAACAAAATTTTAATATGTAGGCCATATGTTGGAAAAACCACTAGTAATTTCACCAACATAATTATTACATACCTACAACTAAAGTCTACATGTTTAATTAGAGTCACCATAAACAGTGTTGGGAGAATGATTAGCACATGATCACACTGAATCTCTCGAGGTGATTGGTTCTGTTTTCTCAGGTGACTTTATGCTGGCTGGTGTTCTGATTTGTGCTAAGCCACGCCCCAGCTATGTGCATTTGTTTACTCATGGTGACTGGTGAATACATGCATTTACTAAACCTATTCAGGATAAATTTAAAATTACAGTATAGAAAATCTCTGAAATAATTTTTTATACATATTTCATTTTAATTACACAAACATGTCTAATAAGTAAAAACAAGTAAACTAATTTGTCAATTTTTTAACATACACATTTGGAAATCCTGCTTTATTATATATAACCGACTTTCAGCTTTAAAAGACACCACCCTGCCCAAATTAATCCATTATATTAAGGTTTTACCGTATTAACATTTTTCATTTTGTTGATAGTTTCTACTAATTCCCTCCAATATACAGTTAATAATCATGTTGTAGTTATTAGTAAGTGGGAGATACAATAGAATATGTAAATATCCTATTCTTCTTGAGACTTTCACCCACCAGATTGATTCTTGTCTGAATCAGAAATTGTGATGGTTGCCACATCGTGGTATTCTAATTCTGTCATTCCTTGTACATTCCTTAGTTGGCCTTCTGCTGTAGGGTAGATCTTTTCATTCCCTTCCATTTGTTCTTTTGCTTATATCAGTGTGAACCCATGTTCCATATTATTTTACTCAAAAGTTATCATTTGGTTATCATTATGTTAATGCTCAGATTTCCCCAGACCCAGCTAGTGGGAGTCCCTTTAAGAGTTGGCTTCTGTGTCCTATAATTCTTTGGCTAACTTCTCCCTTTGTGGTACAATGTGATGTTACAGGCTTATCTTGTGTATTTCCTCACTCAGCCTTGAAGTCAGCCACTTCTCCAAAGAGCTGTGATTCGTTTTAGTGAAGAATCGCATTTGGAATTGTTGTGGGCAGCAAGAATGGCACCAGGTGTTAGACCAGTGGGGTCAGACCAGATCTGGGTTCAGCAACCTTGGAACTTGAGTTCTAGCTAGGAAAGAATTCAGAGCCAAGACTCACACTATAAGAGAACATTCATTTGGAAAATCAGAGAGGCAGAAGTTTAATAGAAGAAATGGGCTTAGAAAACAAGTTATAGAGGTAAAGGAAGGGCCCTTGGAGCTTAGAAGTGAGGAAGGTAAAGGTGACGTGCCTGGGAAGGATAGAGAAGGGACTGGGGAAGGAAATAGGTGTGCTCCTGGGAGGGAGAGCATGCTGGGTCCTCAGTCCTAAGGGTGGAGATTTCAGGGGAGGTCCTAAGGGAAGATCTCAGTAGAATATTCATCAGCTTTCCAGGTGTGTCCTTTCAGGGTCTAGGTCTCCCCCGACTGATTAGTTAGTTGGTGCCAGGGCAGGGGATCATTCTCCAATGCATCCGGTCGTAAGGTCAGCTGTGGGGTTGCTTGTCTGGTTTTGCTGCTTTCCTGGGCCTGGACCTGGACCTGAGACACAACTGAGGCCTAGATGTTATCTCTAGGAAAGAAATGTCATGGGATTGGGGTCTAAACCAACAATATGCTACAGGAGGAAAGGTCACCCTGGGGACTGAGATCCGGCCCTACAAACGCCCATTGCTAGGCACCCGGGACCTTCCACCCCGGTGACCTTGTGTATCTGGCCCATCATCCTTGCTCTGCTCATGTCTGTCTAACTGCCTGCCACAGAATCAAGACTTAGCAGTGGGTGAACTCAGTGCTACTGGATGCCTTTGCATCTACATCCGTCAAGCAAACAGCCAAGAACTATCTGTTAAATGTACAAATAACACCTGTATGTTTCTTTTTAAAATAAAAATAGGTGCACACTGCTCCCCAATTCCAGTCCAGTACCACCAGGTCTATCCTACCTTTGTCACACTTGCAGTTCCTTCTCAAGCTGTAAGGGTTCTCAATTGCCCTCATTGTACCTGCTGTTTGGCTCACCTCCTACCCCAAGTGTAATTAGCCGTGGTCATGCCAGCCCCATCCTCACCTGCCTGGAGCACCAGCCCAAAGGTGGCAGGAGCCGCCCCCACTGGTGGCAGGAGCCAGTTCAAATGAAAGCAATCCTTCTCAGTGTCTGTTTTAGAGCCCTAACGTGTACACATGAGGGGAAATGAAAAACACTGATAAAAGAAACAAAAATAAATGTGAATGTAAAATTAAGTGTGGTATTGGTGCAGGTGCTTTGAAATTGTTTTGAGGGAGTCAGGAATATTTTACTAAAGTTAGCAAGGTTGACCTCTTGTGTGAGGTGTGGAAGGCTAGACTAATAAGTGTTCTGGTTCTAAATGTTTGGCTAGATTTGTTTTATAGTTCACTTATGTCAGTACTTCTGAGAAGTCCTGTATTTCAGATTATCTGTCACTTGGTAAGTCCATAAATGTTGTTACTGAGTAACGTTAGACATCTGAAGATGTTGTATGTGATGAGTGTGACAGTTATCACAGAGGGGCACATCAGGTAGATGCTAATGAAACATGTAAAGCAGCTTCCTGCTCTTCTCAGAGGCAGGTGTGAAGCTGGTAACTCGAGGTTCTCTGTGTGGAGGATGCAGTGGATGTAACACAGACACTCCCTCAGGGGTTGGAAGTCTGCCCAGAGGGACAGGAGGCAGTTTTAGTCATTGGTTCAGTGCTACAGGAAGAAAAGCATAAGGGAACCCTGAGAGGGTTTCTCAAAGGGCCATAAGAGTACACGGGCCCAGTGAAGAGGCTGGTCATCGTGCCTGGAGCATAGTGTGTTCTGTCAAGAAACAAGTCTAGAGATGTAAGAAAGGGCCATTTTAGGATGGAAGCCTTAATAGAAATCATGCTAAGGCATTTAGACTATAGCATGGACTGGAAAAATGATAGGTGATAAGCTTTAACTTGAAGCTATCCATTGTTACTTTCTTCAAGATAAGATAGCTGATGGCTCCTATTTTGTGTAATTTAATTATGATCTTAAAATATTTAAAATTTATTCCAAATTTATGGAGTCTGATCTTTCTGTTTAACAGATTTTATTTTCCTGTTGAGGATTATTTTCTTCTCCAAGGTACTTCATAAATGGTTGCCAGATTTGTCCCTGTACCCACCTACCCAAACCCCCATAGTTTTTGTTCCAGTTTACATGCCATTTTGGTAAGAAGTATCATTGAAAAAGTATTAAATAGCCTTCTGTCCTTTTGAAGGTGCTTAGCCTCCAAAAGTAACCTGAAAATTCATTTCCTTTTTACATTGAATTAAAGTTACAGTAAAATCCTCAATATAATGGACTAATTCAGGCAAGGGACAGTCTGTTAAAGCAGAAAGTTCGTTATATAATAAAGTAGGTTTTCTGAATGTATGTTAAAATATTGACAAATTTGTTAACCCGTTTTTACTTATGTAGACATGTTTGTGTAATTAAATTTAACTATGTATGAAAACTTTAATTTCACAGAAAAGTTTTCTATATGTGTTACTGTAATTTTAAATTTATACTGAATAGGTCTGGTTAAATGTGTGCATTCACCAGTCATCTCCAGTAAACAAATGCACACAGCTGGGGTGTGGCTTAGCACACATTGGAACACCGGCCAGCATGAGTTATATAACTACTTCAGAAAGTCACACAGTGAGACAGCAAACCCAGTTACCTTGCAAGATGTGGTGTGATCACATGCTAATCGTTTGCCCAGCATTGTTTACGAGCAGTGTCACTTGGACTTAAATATGTAGGCTATAGCTGTAACTATGTAATATTTATGTCAATAAAATCACTAGTATTTTTTTCCCAACATATGGCCTATTTGCTAAAATTTCTTAAAAATAAATTAACAAAAAAACCCTGTTAATTTAATTATTGGTTAAAAGCATTTTAAAATTAACAGAGTGTTAATTTTCACATGTGACACTCATATGACAAATGGACCAGAAATTTTGTCTTTTAAATCTGAAGTCCATTAAATCGGGGTCTGAAAAATTAAGGGTGTACTGTAATTTTATTTGGCTAATTATTCCTGAAACATGTCCTAAAATAAGTCAGATTGAGTTAGCATCATCGCCATATCCCTGTTTTGCCACCTTGAACAGAATGTTTAAATTCTTTTTGCTTCCTTCTCAAAAGCAACAGTGCCATATCTTAGTTCTCACACCCTTTACAGAGCATGGATGATACTGGTTTTCATATGGAGAGATCATAGGTCTGGTAGGAATATTTCAAGATATCATCATGCCTGTTTCAATAGTGAATGTGCCGTTTCATAATATCTTATCATATGGCCACTATTTACAACAGAAAATAACAAAGTATGCAAAGATAAAACTAATCTCCAAGTGAGAAAGTTGACACATAAAATAAACAGGATTAAAGTCTTGTCAAAGCAAAATGTTTCTAAAAGCTCACAAAGCTATCCTTATAACTCTTCAGTCCTGAAGAATCCTAAAGCGTTTGGTTGATGATGGGATGTCATGACCCATTTATATGTAAGATGAGGAAGATCTGTCAAAATTCAGACTGCATGACAAGAGCCCACAACACGAACGCCACAGCGTTTGGTGAAAATGTATTTATTCAAATAATTTATTAAAATAAGTGAGGGCTAGAGATTTATATTTAGACATTTTATTGCGCTCTGTTAAAAGAAATCTTGCCTGTAGGAATTTATTTGAAAATACATGGCCCATACATTTTGAGTGATGAATTGAAATAGTCAAAATACAGTGTTTCTTACATAACTAGGAACATCAAGGTGTGCAACGGAAACATCCAGAATCCTTCAAACAAAGGACAAAGTTAATGTTTTTATTAAATGAACTTACCCTCCCCCAAGCAGGCGATTACAGCCCTATTCTGTGTAACAGCATTGCCTAATAACCATACACATATATCTTCATGGTCAAGTCCCCACATCCAAGAGACTGCTCTCTCACCTCAAAACCAATATCCATTTAATAATACTCGAAGTAATACATAGCTGTTATGGGTATTATATTCAAGAGTATGTTCTAGAAACATTTTGACCAGAAACATTTTTTAGTGCATCACAGCATGCCCAAGGTAAATCCCCTTGAAGTGGGTGAGACTCAGTATATTAGTCTGGTGGTTAAAAAAAAAAAAATCAGCCTTTGATATTCTATGGACATAAAAAACCCTATAGTGCTTTTTTTTTTGCCTTTTTTATAAATTGATTTTTAGAGAGGAGGGGCAGAGAGTATCGATGTGATATACATCAATCAGTTGCCTCCCATATGTGCCCAGACCAAGGATTGAACCCGCAACCTGGGTATGTGCCGACTGGGAATTGAACCCGTGGTCTTCCGGTGCACAGGATGGTGCTCCAAACTGAACCACACTGGCCAAGGCTTTTTTTTTTTTTGGCCTTTGAAATAAACTTATAAAACCCAACCGTTAGTGATACTGAGGAGTCATTTCTTTCACAGGTGAAAGCTCACTTAGTATAAGACAAACTGCCATTTATTGTTGCCTTGTTAGGATATAATTTAGTAAATAGGAGGTGCTTTTTTATGTTCTTAGTAAATTATAAAAGTTCTGTGCATTCATCTTTTTTTTTTAGTAATGGCTATTTGTAAATCTTTCAGAATATTCTGAGGAAAGGAGGCCATACAGAAATTGAACCTCAGCATTTCTGTCAAGCTTTTCACAGAGAGAATGATATGCTAATGGTCATCATCAAAAATGAAGATATCTCATCACATTTACATCAGGTAGGTTTGAAAATAACCTTTCTTACAAAGAAATGTGTTCCAGGCCTTTGTTACTCTATAATTATCAGACTTGTCACTGCCTTTTTTTATTCATAATAATTAACTAAGAACTACAAAAAGATACTGATAAATTTTCATATAATAGTAACAAAACTTTCTTTTATAGGAATTATAAAATTTTTCTTGACTCTTTGTTATATTTACCTATTATATTAGTTGAATAAAAGTAATTGCTTCTTCCAAGAAGATCTAACTTATGGGCATAGCGGCAGCCTATCAGGAGGTAGTAACCGATCCCTACAGCACTTACACCAAGTGAAGCCGAAGACAGGGAATGATGGTGTTAGCTTGTTACCTGCCTGATTACACATCCCTAAAGCCTCATTGTACTTTTCCGTATCTCCAACCTTTGCAGTTATAGAGACTTTGTATTTACACGTTTTATGATGAACTGAGTTAATATTCCTTATGTGTGGTAGAATTATCTATCAGTCATCAAGGTTAAAGTATTTTTAGCTGTCCTGAATCTTGAAACCCTCGGATGAAAAGTGACAAAACCCAGTAAATTTATCTTTATTGTGGGATCCTTTTATGTTTAATAGATTCCTTCTTTGCTGAAGCTGAAGCATTTTCCCAGTGTCATCTTCGCTGGAATAGACAGCCCTGAAGATGTTCTCAATTACACCTTCCAAGAGCTGTTTCGGACTGGAGGCTTTGTGGTATCAGATGACAGAATATTAGAAACTTTAACATTAGGTTAGCCTTCTAATTTCCTTTCCTGTTTCTTAAGTACTACTTCATGAAAAATATCAACTCAAAATAATGTCAGTCTCTACCTCTTGAGGGCTTAATTTTTGCTGTATGCTATGCTAAGCAGTTTTTTATATAGTTCTCATTCCCAATATGCATGCTCTTAACCTCCCTTGTTTTACTGATTGTCCTTACCACTAAACCAGCTCCTAAGTTCCTTCTCTCAGGATTGTGGCTAAAATAGTCATACACATTTGAGATTTTGTTAAATTTGATTCCTTCACTTGCCAAATGAAATCAGATACAGATTTGTTTAGAATCAGTCCTCTTCCATTTCTGTTGCTGTCACACTTACTACCTTATTGATATGGAAATGGAAAAAAATGGTTACTGAAAGTCGTGTTAATTATCTGCTTGAACACTCAAAACAGTTGACCCTGAACAGCGTGAGTTTGAGCTATGTGCATCTACTTATACTTTATCTGAGTAGTTCAAGGGTCAACTGGAGATTGGGAATCTGTCAGAGTAGGGGATCTACTTAAGTTATATGTAGTTAATCCATTGCGTGGGCAGTCATTGACCCTAACCCTGAGTTGACCTAGGAGATTGTCAGAGCACAGAGCAGACACTTTTATGTACGATCAAAACCTGCCTAGTTCAAGCATGAATTGTACATGGAAATTGGAGGTGAAAAATATTTGTAGATTCTGTATTTAGAAACGTGGACTTTGCTGTTGCAACTAAACCTATGTGACCTCTATATGTTCAAAGCTTTAACTGCTATGAGTTGCAGTGCTTTCTCTGCAGAGCTCTCTCCTACTGCAGTATGAATGAGTAGGTAGGGCTGAATCGAGGGGCCATAGATTGCTGTATCTTTGAAATGCAATATGGGGTCCTATACAGCCATACAAATGGCAATCAATGATGGTATACACTCAAACACAGGTATTTTTCTTTTTACAAGTAATAAATTCTGGGCTTTGAGTAGAAAACCAAAAATTTTAAAACACAATTTATTCTATCCTGTAGTTCAACTGAAGGAAATTGTGAAAGCCCTGGAGAAACTAAATGGAAATGGAAGATGGAAATGGTTGCTTCACTACAGGGAAAATAAAAAGCTAAAGGAAGATGTAAGGTAAGGCCTGATGCCAGATGAGGGCTTGGGCGGGGGTCCTTCTCTTCCCTTTGACAGGGGGATATGGAAATGCCATGTGATTCACCCTGAAATATTAAATGTGCTCTGGACTGGTATTATTCAAGGTTAAGTTTGTACTGGAATGGAAATCACCTGCATCACTAAACACAGTATTTAGATCTGTTGGCTGGTTTGGGGATTTTGTTTTTATAGCAGGGCATATTATTCAATGAAAGTTTTGTGTTGTACTCAAAAGCTTATAGGCATATACTGTGAGTAGCGCTCTCTAGACCAACAGAAGTCAGACATAGGGATCCTAAAATATCTATAGTTATTCAGACTCTGCTACCATAAACTGCAAAAAGTAAACTGAACAACGGGCTTGCCACAGTAATGCTTTTTAAGTTGCCTCAGTTATAACTAGGATGGAAAATTGAATTTTACCCTTAAACAATAGATTGCCAATTGGCAAGTCTCTTTAAATATAAGGCTAGGATTTTTTTAATCTTCAGAGAGAGAGGAAGTGGGAGAGAGAAATATCAATGTGAGGGGGAAAAAATCTGGCCTCCCGTAAGCAGAGTCTGAACTTAACTACAGATATTTTAGGATCGCGATTCCTGACATGGAATCACACCCAAAACCTCTTTGGTGTATGATACACTCCAACCAACTGAGCCACCCTGCCATTCTACAGCTGAGATTTTTTTAAAGAAAAGTATTTATTGATTCCTTGGCTAAAGGAACTTGGATCTGAGAGTAGCTCCATATCAAAGATGTGCCTCCTGCCTTAACTGGTTTGGCTCAGTGGATAGTGCATCGGCTTGCAGACTCAAGGGTCCTGGGATCGATTCTGGTCAAGGACATGTACTTTGGTTGCGGGCACATCCCCAGTGGGGGTTGTGCAGGAGGCAGCTGATCGATGTTTCTCTCTCATTGATGTTTCTAACTCTCTATCCCTCTCCCTTCCTCTGTAAAAAATCAATAAAATATATTTAAAAGAGAAAAAAAGATGTGCCTCCAGGTTCTAATGAGACTGGGAAAGGAAGGCCTGGAGCTCAGAGACAGACTGGAAAAGAACAGATTTGACAAGCCATTTGTTAAATGACTGTTTCAGGCACTGTTAGTTGTTTTACTTCAATTCTCTTGCCCTAACTTCATACAGAGTACACATGACAGGCCTGACTTAGGTCAAACTTGGAGTCAGTTAGTTGTAGGCTTTAACTCCAGGATGTTCATCTCTGAAATGTCCATTATTGTGTTTAACCATAGTGATTTCTCCAAAGGAAAACAAACCTCAGAGGAAACAGCCAAAATTATGGAAGTGCATGAGATGCTGAAAGGTGGCTTAGAAGTTCAGAAAAGGCTCATAGTTAGGAGGCACTAGAACAGGAGGACAACCAAAAGTTAACAGGATCCCAGGCTGTGACCATGCATTCACAGAGAGTTAGCCAAAACAGTAACATGCTCTTCAAATTGTACTTACCTGGCATAAACAGAGCTCATCAGAAAACCTATCAGATTCTTTCAACATTGGGGGAGTATATCTACAACTAAAACAAAAAGAAACCCTAGCTTTTAAAAACCACAAAGGGGTTTATAGCCATTGATGGTTACCAATAACTACAAAACCAGCCTCAACTCCATCTCTAGGCTAATTTTGTTACCTAATTTTTCCACTGATTTTTTGAGAGATTAGAAGGGAGGGGGGGTTGTAAGGAGAGAGACACATTAATTGGTTGCCTCCTGCACACGCCTCAACCAGGGCCAGGGATCAAACAGCCCACGTATTTGACTGGGAATGGAACCCGAGACCGTTCTGTGCTTAGCCAACCCTCTTAACACTAAGCCATACCAGCCAGGGTCTGATTTTTTAATACTTGCAAAATAATGTCACACAAAACTTATAACAATAAGGAATATAACAGAAAAGTTGGTATCTTAAAACTAGGTACAGTATGATACCAATTGTAAATTGACATATAAGTCTGGAAGGAAATTCACCATTGTAATGTGAACAGTGCTTGTCGCTTCAGTGGTGGGATACGTATGATTTGGTTTTCTCCAGCAAACAGGAAGGAGAATGTGATAGAAAAGACTGACTGGAGAGATGGACTCAAGAGCAGAGGTAGCAATGTTTAAAAGTTAAACATTTTCCTCTAAAAGAGTAAGAAAAAAGGTAGTAAGAAGATTTAAAAGGTGAGAAACTAAGGAAAATCTAGCTGCTACATTGTTTTAATCAGAAGTTATAGAGCAGGGGTTTTGAAGAAACTTACATATTTGGAACCATTGCTATAGAGCAGTGGTTCCCAAACTTATTTGGCCTACCCCACCCCCTTTCCAGCAAAAATATTACTCAGCACCCCCTGGAAATTGTTTTTAAATTTTAATAGCAATTAAACAGAAAGATATATATTAATGTTTCTATCTTTTTCGTAAAATATAGTAAAGAAAGGTATAAATAAGGAACATTGAAGTTTAAAATTATGAAACTATTTATTGAACTCAGAATAGAAAGGTAATAACAAAAAAAGTTAAATGCACCTGTGGCCATCACCGCCCCCCTGGATCGCTGCAGCGCCCACCAGGGGGCGGTAGCTCCCACTTTGGGAATCACTGCTATAAAGAATGCATTAAGAGGTCCACTAGAAATTCATATGAAGCTTGTCCGGCGACATTTTTGGAAGTGGTGGTAGATAAATGTGTAGATGTCCCTTCGGCTTGGAATCAGAATGCTATTTTTTCTTTTTTTAATATTTTATTAGGGTTTTTTTACAGAGAGGAAGGGAGAGGGATAGAGAGTTAGAAACATCGATGAGAGAGAAACACCCATCAGCTGCCTCCTGCACACTCCCCACTGGGGATGTGCCCGCAACCAAGGTACATGCCCTTGACCGGAATCGAACCTGGGACCCTTGAGTCCGCAGGCTGATGCTCTACCCACTGAGCCAAACCTGTTAGGGCGCTATTTTTTCTTTTAATCTGTATTTGCAAAGATAGCGTGCCTGTAATGTTTTGAAGAGCACATCAAGACAATGACTTATAGGAAGGCAAGTGTATGGTGGAAAAGAACAGAGACAAAGGATCTCAGTTGGTTTTATGGGAAGTAGTTAAACTAGGAATGTAAGTATAGTGAATGCAAGAGAAGATTTAGGAACAAAACAAAATTAAGATACAGTAAAAAAAGAAACTTAAACTGAATCTGAATTTAACATTTCTATGTATTTTCCAGAGTGGATTCAATTGCACATAAGAAGAACTTAATATTGAAATCCTACCAGAGTGCAAATATCATTGAATTGCTTCATTATCACCAGTGTGACTCTCGGTCATCAACAAAAGCAGAACATTTAAAATGTCTCCTAAACCTGCAAATTCAGCATATCCATGCCAGGTTTGCTGTCTTCCTAACAGGTAAAGTCATACAGACTTAGTACTGCCTCAGTTTTATATCATCAATCAGTTAATGCCCAAATGGGTCAACTCTAGGAGTCATTGAATGCCATAAGATAAATGGATATAGATCCAAGATCAGTTGTTAGCCTGATAATGGCTGGGTGAGGGGTACTGTCTATTTAATAGTCCTCAAACAGTTTCTTTCTATTAAGTTTCATCATCTCCTTAATTTTATACTTAATCCCTAATTTTTAATGTTTCATGTGAATCTTCACCAAACATTTAAAAATTAAGGAATGACTCTTTTGTCATTTATCAGTGGTTTCCCAGCACTCTTCCCACCTCCCATGGAAGGGGCTGCTCCCAAGCTTCAAACTTTTTTTTTTCCTTCACTAGAACCAGACTCCTTTTTCCTCCCACATTAGGAAGTTTCACACAAGTTTTTTTAAACAAAGGGGGTTCTGCTAGTTTTAAAAAGGTACATTTAAATGTTGAATAACTGTTATACACCTGGAACTAATATTATATGTCAATGATACTTTTTAGAAAGTACATTAATGCATTTTTTACCAAAAAAGGATATTTTTCTTTTTACAGAGAAGCCTGTCTCCAGAGAAGTCTTTGAAAATAGTGGCATCCTTGTTACAGATGTAAATAACTTTATTGAAAATATACAAAAAGTAGCAGCTCCATTTAGGAGTAGCTATTGGTAAGAACACTTCTCCTGCAACTCTCCCTTGTCAGCTGGAATTGAGGGAAGATACTGACGTTTGTGTCTATGAGGCAAACAGTTGTTCAAAAACTCTGTTCTTTACCTTATGTTATGCTGTAAATTAAAAATAACTCTATTTAGGGATGAAATTCTTAAGTATCCACTAATGAAATAACCAACCCAATTACCCATTTTCTGTGTGATATGCATTTTCACCTGCAGTTCATCCTGATCACCGAGATAGATGATGTAACCTTTACAATGCATAGAAATTTTCCCATTAGGTAGCATACTATTTATAAAATAGTTGTTGGTTATTTTGTTTTAAAGATGAAATTATCAATTTTATTTAACCAGGTTATTCAACTGTAACTTGCCTAGACATCAGTGATGCCAACAACAAATTAGTATTTTCCCTTTTCTTTAAAAAACTTTAAGACACATTAAAAAGTCTTCCCTTCTCATCATTGAAACAAATCAATGTTCTACAACTTAGGGGGAAATTCCTTTCATTTTTTTACATTTTGTTTAAATGGCTTCATTTACAATGACACATTCACTTTGGGTTGCAGTGTTAAATACTTTGTTTTAAATTAATTGTAATTTAAAGCTATTAATTGAATTTAGTTAAAAATAATTTTATAAACATGTCTACTCAGTTGTAGCAAAAGTCTATTTTAACCAATAGCTTTATTTTTGCATGTCAATGTCAGCAACACTTAAGAAATGCATATTAGTCTGTTTTAAAGTTTTTACTACCTTTGTAAAAGACTATAATCTCTTACGTGTTTCATTTGCTATTATTCAAACACTACATAAAGTTAACCTTTTTTCCAAAATGGTACAAATTTATAAACTGTCATCTTCCACTTATTTTGTAAATAGTGCACTTACAAAATCAACTCTGAGAATAATCACTTATTTATGATGTTAGAAATATTAAAATCTTTAAACATGAAAACCAAGCAAAAAACATTTGTAAGACACTTATCATCTATTTGGAACACAGGTTTTTATAACTAATTTGTTTCATTTTTCTAATAAAGACAACTAAAAAGTCAATTGTTTCTGCAAGGACTTCATAGCAAAAACTGGAGTTTGTCAGGAGAGTTGTATCACTTTTTAAGCCACTTAAGCAAGAATGACTGGGTTCCAGAGGAATACTATCACTTATATCATTTTGGTCCTCATCTGTCAGTTTAGTCCCAGCAGACCCGCCCAGTGTTTTCCCCTCCCAAGGTCATGTGCACTGAGCTGCAAGCTACAGGAAAGAAGGGCGGGGCTGTTAGAACTATACAGAAACTTCTTTCAAAAGCCATTCATCTACTTTGTATACTTCTTACCCAAACAAAAGTGCCAATCTCACTATTTATAAGTTTTAATTATTTGACACTAGCTTTTGCTTAGAAACCCATTTTTTACCTCAGGGATAAGATTCTAATAACAGGATCATAACACTGAGTTGATTTGAAATTACTAAGGAAAAGGAAACATATATTGAGCACCTACTACTACCACCTGTCAGGTGCTATCTGTCCAGCATAGTCATCTTTCAAGTTAGACCTCAAATGTTCATCTCCCTTACTGAAAAGCCTTCCAACATCCAACCCCAAGGCCATCAGTCCCATACCACCATTTCTTTAACTTAAACCAAGTCACAGAACAACAGGTCTAACCTGGACTACATGCTCTTACAGAAACTGTGCCTTCATCATTTTTGGACCCCATTGGCCTGGGACATAAAGTCCTGATATCTTTGCTTTCTATTTAATACTAACCAGATTGTACATTTTGCATGTTTAACTATATAGCAGGCTAATTTTTAAGTTGATAATTTTGTATGGTCTGAGAATAATGTTAGAAATATCCTTTTGGCTCTTGGCAGAAAAAAGGTTCCCCACCCCTGACATAAAGTAGTGGTTCTCAACTTGTCGATTTTGTCCCCCAGGATATGTTATAACATCTGGAGACATTTTTGGTTCTCGGGCTAGGGAGGTGCTCCTGGCATCTAGGAGTGATGTCAGAGATGCTGTTAAACATCATACAATGCACAGGACAGTCCCCCATAACAAAGAAGTATCTGGCCAAACAAGTAGTGTGAGATTGAGAAACTGAGCTAATGTAAATCAGATAATCTGAATAATAATCTAAATTATTATCCGAATTACTTCAACAGATTAGTCGTATGTCCTAATAATGTCCTTTTAAGAATCAAATTCAGCCTATAAGAATACAGTTAAGATGTCTTCATTCATCTGGTAGCTATTACTGTATAATGCTAAGAGAGAGAGGAGGTCCCAGTTAAAAACAATTTCTAACTACAATTTACATTACATGAAAATCTTTTAAAGTACCTATCTACCTGATAATTAACTTGTTCTCTTACAAATGCTACCTATAAGCAAAATTATCAAAGGCAGTAACTTGCATTTGAATAAAAAAAGAGTACTTGTTAACCACTACTAAGAATATCTAAGCCCTAACCAGTTGCTCAGTGGTTAGAGCGTAGGCCCTCAGACTAAATGGCCCCAGGTTCGATTCCAGTCAAGGATACATATATTGGTTGCAGACCCCATCCCTGGTCCTGATTAGGACAAATTCGGGAGGCAACCAATCAATGTATCTCTCTCCCATCAATGTTTCTCCCTCTCTCTCCCCCCTCCCTTCCACTCTCTCTAAAACATCAACAGAAAAATATCCTTGGGTGAGGATTAACCAAAAAAAAAAGAAAGAATATCAAGAGTTTCACAGTTATACTGAGTTAAGAGTATAATTTAGAGTTTACTCACAGTGAAGCCAGACTTGATTCTCTATCCATCCAAGTTTTGACGCTTCACATGCTGTAACTGAGCACAGTTCCACGCCAGCATCTCTCCTAGCATCAGTTTCAGCTCTACTGAGGGAATAAACAACTGCATCATGGCCAGCACAATACTTATAGCTCTTAAACATCAGGGCACAAACAGACCAATCGAGAGGGACTTGGTTTCCAGAGTCTGGCTTTATTTTGCAGTACAGAAATCATTTGGAGCCATTTTGAGGCAGACATCATTGAAGGAGAGGCTCTGTCAAATCAATACTGCATTGCAGCTTGGTCCGTTGAAAAGGCCACACCTGGGATATGATAGAAGCTTCTACATTTACCTGCTTTATGGTAGTTTTCTATCTCCTTTGCTCTCATCAATTAGATTAAAACACACACATACACACAGGTATCCCCCAAAATGACTCTCGAAATCTGGAGTTCAGAATTTTGAGCCCACATAAACCAAACCTGTGGTGAGGCTACATAGACACTATCATAATACTTGACAGGACCAAAATGTAAATCTATAGTGAAAACTTCGGTATGCTTTCCCAAATTATGGAATATTTGATTTCAAATCTCCTTAATATTAAGGACAGATGGCACGCAAATTGTACTGATCCAGCTCTTGAGCAGCAGAAGCACATAACTGTAAAGGCTACACTGATTAAAAGATACAAACACTGTATCAAGATCTTTGTATCAGTATCACAATGTTTTTTTAAAACTTATCCTTCACTAGAAAAAAAAAGCCAGCATTGGTTAAACAGTACAGAATATGGTCACCTGCCAATTCTGAACAGCCACTCCATGAATACAAGTTAATACATGATATTAGAAAGGGGAGGAATATTTACTGGTGCAGTGCTCTGCAATCTCTCAGTTTGGATTATAAAAGCAGGCCTTACAATACTGATTTCATACAATATGCATTATTTGCCAATTTTAAGTCTGTCCTAATTAGATGATAACATGTACTGCTGTTAGTCTTCCCCATAGATGTCATTTTTCTTGCGCTTCATTTCCTCAAAGTCAAACTCTGATCCTGTCATCCTCTTATAGATGTCTTTAATATCATCACAGGTTGTCTCAAAGTGAGTTGTAGCATCATATGTACGGGAAATAAAGATCTGAAAATAAAAATTAGAAAGACTTGAAACCAAGGAAATCTCCCAATAAAACGTGATAATACCCTTTTCAGATCACCACACTCACCTGGCTTTCTGTTCCCAAATCTTTTGGTACAAGCAGGTCACTGATGCTAACGAATCTGAAAGTGAAAAAGAATTAAGTGAGCAGGTGAGCTGACCCCACACCCATTCACTGCTTTGCTTGAAATTCAAAACCCAAAGGATGAGATTGGTGGGGATGATGGTTGCTTGCTTTCTTCTCATTGGGTTTGCCCCACCATGGAGCAAAATCCAAAATTAATCTAGGATTTTAGCTGATATAAATAATCACTTCACTTACTTCTGTTCAATTGGTTCCAAGAGCTCCAAAGCTGGTCTGATCTCTTTCTCGGGTTCCTTGGTCTCCACAGTTGTACTGACTATGGCAATGTACTTCCCTTGTGCTGCCACGTTGTGTGCAGAGGAGATCATGCAGACATAGATATCTGGAAACAAGTAATGCCAACTCACTGCCAAGGTTTGTAAAACATGGGCATTGGGTGTGTACACTCAGTCTCACCCGTATTTCGAGGTGTGAATTAAAATTACTTGGAATAGCTTCTAAGCTTAAGTTCTATGTATATGGAGGTAACAGTCATACATAGAACATGCCAATATTCAGCAACTTTCTGGCCTTTTGGAGATCAAGGATTTATGTGGCAGTGAACTGCTGCACTTGAAAATGAAATTTCTCTTCCCAGCATTGTCCCAGCTAACTGTGGAAACCTGGCAAACCATACTAACTGCTCTGAGGTCTTCTGCCTCTCTAAACATTGCATTGCAAAAGGTTTTGAATAGCTAAGAAAGGTTTCATTAAGTACAGATGCTCCTCAACTTACAGAGGGGTTATATCCTGATAAGCCCATCATAAATACCGGAAGTCGAAATGCATTTAATACACCTAACCTACCAAACATCATAGCTTAGCTTAGCACACCTTAAATGTGCTCAAAAGAGTTACATTAGCCTATAATTGGACAAAATCATCTAACACAGTCTATTTTGTAATAGTGTTGAGTATATCAATTTATTCAATACTGTCCTGAAAAGAAAAAACAATGGTTGTATAGTTAATCACTTTTGCACCAACTTGATAAATCGTTAAGTCAAACCATTGTTAAATGGGGACCTTCTATATTGACTTCTCACATATTTACTATAAAATTACGAATCAGCAAAAGCTATTCTTGAGTTGACATAATAAACTCATATAATTCCATAGGTCTAGTTGTCTGTATACCACTAAGTAACTACATTAATTTCAAAAACAGAAAACAATCACTGGGCTCCCTTTTGTTACTTTCACCAACCCAGGGATCTGCTTGGGAACCCTTTAAAAATTACTTGAGTACAACTCCCTTTGTTCTAGTAATAAATCTGTGATTGGGATTCCTATACAGAAAAATTAAATACAGATAGCTTTTGTCTTTTTCAAAGCCAAAAAACTTTTTTTAGTTGAATTTTTGATAAAAGATTTAGGACTTCAGGAAGAGGTAGTAGATGAAATCTGCTGGTTAAAGCAAATAAATCAGGACTTACAATTTTAGAAATCCTGATCTTAGAGACTAATAAGTTTATAAATAATGACAGAGAAGCACCATTATCATCATCTCAAAATAGTGGTGTCAGGTCACTAATAAGCTAAGCCTTTACAGGCAACATAATGTTGGAACTGGAGAAACTGAACTCATCTTAGTTCAGCCTCTGAATTCCACAGATGAGGAATCAGAGGACCAAAGCAGTGAATACAAATCTGAGGCAGGACTCCTAGGCTAATTTAATTTGTCCTTTAATGTGATGATTTAGGATCTCAACTAAAAGGGATCCATCATATTTTGTTTCCCATGTGTTAAAAAGCTAAGGCTTTTTCACTATAATAGAGCAAATAAAATTGGGAACTTTGGATAAAATACAAAGTAAATTTCGTCTACCAAAATTCTACAAACATCTGGCTGATCTCCAAAACTTACCTGACTTCCGATTGACCTGGTTCTGTGGAATAATGATCTGGCAGGAGTTGGCATCATTGGTGTTCTTGATGGGGTGACTGAGAATACAGATAACACGAATCACCTGACCCACTTTTTCTACCCGATCTTTTACATAGCTAGGGTCACAGATGAGCTGCTTACAACGAGCAATCTGTAACAAAACATTTAAAGATGTTACAATATTTGGTGTCCATGATGTTTTTAGACAGTATACTGATGCCATTGTCTCTTGAATATAATCTCTTACTGTTCTCACATTAACTGCAGAAATTAATTGAACTATAAGATAACTACTAAAACTAGCTCTGCCAAAAAAAAAAAAAAAACTAGCTCTGACAACAATCTCTACAAGTTTTCCTGGAACAAATTCATTAATTCTAAATCCTATTCAAATGTTAGGAAAGTTGTTGCAGTGTTCAGGAGTTTTAGAACTAGGCAGATCAGTGTTCACATCCTGGCTTTTTGCAATCTCAAAGGTAGTTGTTGGGATAAAGTGAAAAAGTATAATTAGGGGTTGTCATTATATGAGAAGTACCAAGTAACAACTCTTTAGTAAAATGTCCCATAAATAGTACTAGCATTACAAACAGACCAAAATATTTTAACACTAGACTTTTTAAGTAAAACTTAAGTTGCAAGATATATATTATAGTCTTCTTCCCCTTGTATATCAAAGCCTTGAAATTTCCTAAGTAGCAGCAGCTGTGTGAAGCAAGGAAGAATGGGAGGAGGGAAGGGGGCTGCAATAAAAAGATGGACTGAGATCCCGGGTTCGATTCCCGGTCAGGGCACGTGTCCAGGTTGTGGACTCGATCCCCAGTAGGGGGTGTGTAGGAGGCAGCTGATAGATGTGTCTCTCTTGCTCTTCCTCTCTCTTTCTCTCTCTCTCTGTCTCTCTTTCTCCTTTCCTCAATAAAAACATATCCTCAGGTGAAGATTTAAATAAAATGGACTTTTAGATAGCAAATAAAAACATTAACCATATTTCCCAAACACCTGTTATGCGGAAAAGGCATAGCAAAAGATCTGCAACAGTAAAAGTTCAGATGGCCAACTACTGAGTGTTGCTTATATGGTCTTAACCCATGGAATACCATCAGGAATACCAAAATATTTTTTTTGCCCAGTCAGCATGGCTCATTGGTTGAGCGCTGACAGAGGAACCAAGAGGTTGCCAGGCCCTAACTGGTTTGGCTCAGTGGATAGAGCATCAGCCTGCGGACTGAAGGGTCCCAGGTTCGATTCCGGTCAAGGGCATGTACCTTGGTTGCGGGCACATCCCCACTAGGGGATGTGGAGGAGGCAGCTGATTGATGTTTCTCTCTCATTGATGTTTAAAACTATCCCTCTCCCTTCCTCTCTGTAAAAAATCA